GAGAGAGAGAGAGAGAGAGAGAGAGAGAGAGAGAGAGAGAGAGGCGGCTATATAGGTGGTGAGAGCGGATGCGGCGAGGAATAAGGGTGCGAGGGTTCGAGGGGACGGACGACGACGGGGTCGGAACGGAGCAACGGAGGAAGAGAACGAAACGGGGGGGTTGGAGAAGCCGGTGGCTTAATAGGGAGGAAATTGAGTGCTCGAGCAATATTGAGGAGGATTCGGGATTCGCCAGGATCGTATCCGTCCCGTCCGCTTTTGGATTCCTCGGACGTGCATCGGCTTCCAGCGTAGCGTGCCCGCAGGGGTTCTCCATCCCACCGCGAATGCTTTTCACGCTGGGACGCACGTGAATAGGTTCGCTATGTATTCGATCGAGTCGCGAACGCGATTCGACGACGATAGGTACTCGCGGCGCGGCGTCGCCGACGGAAGATCCATCTTTGTAACAAGCTATAACATTGGCGTGCACTCACCCCGATAATAGTGTTCAGCTCGGTCATGGTCACTTGTTTGGCTCTGTCGAGCGCCGACGCGACTTGCTGCTGATGCTCCTGCGATAGAAACGGCAGGATCTGTACGACGATGGCGTTCAATCTCTTTGCTATTTCCGTCTGAAAAGAAAAAATATAATAATAATTTACATAAAAAATTATCTTTTTCAAATTACTAAATTATCATATATGTTCGCGAGTACAGTAGGAACGCAACACGCACGGAGCAAAGAATGAGATTATTTGTAAAGATTGCGAAGGCTTTTATAATTAAAACATTAATTTTTCAAATAAATATTGTGCTGGAATTAATTTTTTGGTTTTTTTTTACATAAAAATTAATGTTTATTGATAAGTCAACCTCTAATATATCTGCCAATTCTTGTAGCGTTTGGCATGGATCCAACAATGTTTCCAATCTCTCATTTTCGAATTTTTTTGGCTGTCCAGGGCGCTCTTTGTCTTCCAAGTCAAAATCACCAATTTTAAATCGTCGATACCAGTATTCTACCGCTTGAACCGTCGGAGTATAATCACCATAAGCTTCCAGCAACAAACAATGACAGTCAACAGCTTTTTTCTTTAGGTGAAAGCAAAAAAGCATGGCTTCCCGCAAATTGCGTTTCGATGGCTCAAAACTCGACATTTTTGACGCACCAAAAAAACTTGTTACTCACACTTTAACGAAATGGCTTCTACTGATTCTTAAAACTTAATAACAAGACTTTTATATAAGGTTGGCAACAGTATGCACCGGCGTGTAATATTCTAGTGTTACGCCATCTCTTAGAAAAACCAAAAAATTAATTCCAACACCCAATACGTAAAGCAAAACAAGCACGAGTAATTAGAAATGATGAATGACCACGCAAGGTTCCGATTTTTTTAAATCTAGTGTTTTCTCTAAATTATTAAAAAATCTCAGTAACCTTGAAATTATCAATCATGACGTTTACATCAATCAAGCAATCAGTAGTTTGTCGCTGAGAGAGACAAAGGGATCTTACTCAAATATTTTCAAACTTCTATAGAAGTTTGTGGACTTTACGAGCGAGAATTATTGATAAACAACATAATTAAATTTAATTTTTTGTTTCGCGTGTTCATAAAATTTGTTGTCACCCTTTTCCAACCGTTAAACTCCAACTCCGTCCAACTCTAATGGCGAAATAGTTTTTCATAAAATATATAAACAATCTACCCAAAATTTTTTTGTTAAAAAAGTAAGTAATAACAAAACTTTTTCATTTGTTTATTTAAGTGAAAAAAATACAATATACAAAATACAATAAAGTTTATTATCTGACTTTAAATAATTGCAATAAAGCAAAAAACTAAAATAGACGTGAATCACCATCCAATATTACCATTAGAAAGTTAAGACGGTTAAGACGAAGGGAAGTCACAAGAGGGTTGTTAATTGCGCGAAATAAACAATGGGAATTGCTCTGATTATTACAAATTACTGTGCAGAAATTGTTTAATTTCGAACAATATCAGTTTACGGAGTTTTTACATTTATTATCCTATCGTATATCATTTTCCTTTACTCAATTAAAAAGCTATTACAAGAAAATGTAAGAAAAAAAGGAGGAACAGTAAAAAAGAATATTTCGTTGAGCACTCAATACTTCCCCCTCGACGAGCTACGTATTACGGCGGGAGGGTGTTCGATCTGACACCACCATGCCGTCGTAGTCTGCGCCCGAGGCCCTCAGGCGGCTTGTTCCGGATCGTTAAGAAAGGTAAGGGCTAGCTTAACGCGCCCTCGCGAAGGAAACGAGTGAAGATGCAGGTGCGGCATAACCGACCGAGGGTGTTTACGACGCCCTCCGGCTGGAAGAGACTGCCGGGAATTAAATTAAATCCAGGCAAGATTGCTACAGTGGCGCAAGCATTCGTGCCGTTATTTCGCCCTCTCTGGCCCGACTTACTCCGGCATACTTGACATTGGAGATATATTTCTTTATGTCACTTTGAGGCATCGGATCTTTTCCGGTAGTATACGTCACTTTTCTTAAATTAAAATTTTAATATACAACTTATCTCGACATGTGTCATAATTTCCTTGACTTCTTCCTCATATTTTATTTCCTAATCTAGTAATTTTTCTAGACGAGAGGGCACTAAACCATTATTGGATAATCGTATATAAATCTACGCGCCAGGCCGGATAACTCGGCATAATTATTCACACGGCAACATCACATAGCGCGAAACTCCATTTAATTATCGCGGAATCAACAGGCAGCGCACGGAACGGAGCGCGGACCATTTTCAATGCTTTCGTCGAGAAAATGAAATCACTTAATTACCTCGACAAAGCGGCGGCTCCGACGCTCGTTTCCCCGCCGACGCGCAGAATTCGCACGCTCGAGAGACGCGGAAGCGGAAGCCGCCGATTCGTCGTGAAACAGGAAACAAACCGCTGGTTTCTACGTGCCTTTCGTTCCCTCTCTTTGCCGCTCATCCTCGGGTAACTCATAAACGCCCCGAAAATATAAGCCCGGTGAACTCGCGGTTGATATAAACGTGAGCTTCCGTCAACGCGTTTTCACCGCTGCTTAAACGAGTCTCGGATACTAATTGAAATATCGCCAGGCCACTGAAATTCTTGGCAAGTTTCCCCCGAGCGCATCTCGGCGTCTCGGCGAATGAGCAGAAAAGGAAAGAGAGAGAGAGAAAGAGCGATTGTGTGATACGTATGAACGTATGTGTACGTGGAACGAAGATGAAAGAGAGAACGCAAAGAGGAGGACCTGTTTTAATTACTCGACGCCCTCCGAGTGCTAGTTATTAAGCCGCTAATTATAATGTACGCGAAAATGAGTCGAGCTATATCCGCGAGACATCGTGTATGAGAGCAAGGAGGTTTACAGGCAGTGTGTAAAAGACGCGCGATATGCGGCATACAGAACGTGCAATTTTATGGAACACCGGAATTTTAAAAGTATATACATTTTGTGCGCGTACACATACGTATACATTCAAAAGAGAGTATGAATAAAGAATTTTATGAAAATAATATTCGGAAGTACACAGTACACATGTAGATTCACTTGTAGATTGTTGATTAGATTTTCTATTATGATATTATTTTGTTAATTTATAATTTTTCTAATAAAACTGTTTCACTAACTGTTCTCTCCCCGCCCTTATACTTAAAGAAATAACAGGTGGCGTTAAACGTGTTTAATAATTGACATTTAAGCATGACACGGCTATTATCATGATGAAACTCGAACGTACTTGTATTGTTCGCTAGGATAACACGGGGAGTGTGTTTCGTAACGTGCGGTAAAGTCCCATCTACTTGGCGTACTGTACGGCAGTTTGCGACGGTACTAGAACCAGAAGATTTCAAGCGAGTGGTAGAACGGGGGAGGACATTGTGGGCGAGAAATGGTAGCAGCTCCAGGGAGGAAGAGACGACGACGGGGGTGGAGTCGTCGCAAACGTAATTGCGTTGCCAAGAAGTTTTCCCCGGGTGAGAGGTAACCAAGAAAATAATGAATGGCTCGGATGCTCCGCTACTACTCTCTCACTCCAGGAGAGAAAGAGAGGATGAGTGAGCGAGAGAGAGAGAGAAATAGCAGAAGTAGAGAAACGAGAAACCGAGTTTTGGCCACGGTGTTCTCGTTGGCCTGGATTTCACACGGGGGAGAGATGAAAATCTCGCCCCGAGAATGAATTTTTCTCTCTCGTGCCAAATTGGACCAACGAAGATTGCTCTACTCCGAGCGGAGTCTTTCACAGCGCGAATGGCTTTTTCCTTAAAATAGCACTTGCAGCGGGCGTTGTTATCCGCTATCGAAATATCGGGGGCGACGTGAGATTTCAACGATTACTGCGATTACGCGCGAATAACCACGTACAAGTCTGTGCAATTCTCAAAATCTTCAATACTCCTTTCCGTTTCTTTTTCATATCCGCGTTCTCTATGACATTACGTGGCGTCGCAACGTGCGCTGAAACGGAAGACGCAGATGCTCCGGCTCAGTAATATCGCGAAAACCGCAAGAAGCTCTCGCAAAGTGCCATCCTTCTCTCCTTCTCTCTCTCTCTATATATATATATAGATATATATACATGCAATACCACCGTTGTGTCGCACGCTCGCACACACACACCCGGACACGCGGTTACGAATACATGTGTATCTCAAAAGGAATCAGGCGTCTCTCCGAGACGCTCTCCCATACATATAAACAACACTATAGCGTACGTCTAAAAGCAGGCAGCAACATTCACGGCATGAAAATGCAAAGCGCCCGAGTGCCGTCGATAAAATTCCTCGCCTGTAAAACGGTGACGTGAACTGAATGCTCTTTCACCACCCCGGCCCGGCCCGGCCCGATACTGCCGATAATCCGATACTCGAAGCTGCCTCGGGAGGAGATGGGCCTCCGTGAATCCGACTGCATTCTATACTATGCGCCGAATATCGAAGCACGATCTCTTATCTCTTATCGCACGCACGGGACACGTCTTTGTCTCGCGATGAACTTTAGCCTCCGTGCTACGCTGGAAAATGTTTAATCGAAGAGTCAGCATCCAGTATTATAAAAGAGAAAGAGAGAGAGAGGGATATAGAGTTTGTGGCAACAAAGCCATGCTCGCCGCCAACCTCTACCGACTAACCGGAAGCCGTTACTTGCGCTAACGAGTAAACCAACGGCTGCTCGTCGGACTTTGGTGGTATTATGCTGCGCGAGCAAATAAACTGGCGTGTTCGGCTAACTCCCTGGTTTCTGGTAAGCCCCTGCACACCGGCGGCGGTTCTCGTTCGCTCGGCCTGTAAAGCCCGGCTAACGTCCGCGTGATTGCAATACCCCGCGGCTTGCGGAGAATACCGGATGTGGCCGTGTGTACGCGCGCGCATCTGTGTACACACGCTGGACCACCGTGTGTGCGCGAGCGCGGGTGGGTGGATTAGTAGATAGAAGAGAGAGGAGCCGGACATGGATAAAGCATCCGTTAAGGTATACGAAGAGCCGAAAACTCATTGTGTCCGCTGTTGTTTTCGAATCGTTGCACTGTCCAGTTACCCTGAAAGTTAGATTAAATCAATTTTCCGTCTCGCGTCGCGTCGCGTCCAATCGAGTCGCGTCAGCTAGTTT